GCAAGGCTGCAGAAGGTATTTAGGGAAAAGCTTACAGAGTGGTGGTAGTTTCATGCAAAACATGCATGTAAGGGTAGACAAATGTTTAAGCCACAAGTTCTACATGGTAAGTTATAAAACTATAGACTAATTGAAAATATTAATAAAATCAGCCCTTGGATATCACTTCTGCTTATCTAATTGTAATGTAAACAGTATTACTGTATCAGCCAGCGAGAGCTCTGGTACCTGAAAGTGGTATAAAAAGGCTGGAGGCAGCACATACTGAAACTCTGGAAGGTGGTGGGTGTAACACAGGTTTTAATAACAAGTGTGGAGTTGGTATGGGAAATTTGGAAGTCAAACAGGGAAAGCTTATTTTGGTAAAGGAAGTGAAGCACATGAGTAAAATACCAGATTGCTGAGGAAGGCCTCATGCAAATGTCAGACCTGGAGATCAGCCTCTGGTTAGGTGGATGGATATTGTATGGATAGCCAGGCTGGGTGTGATGGAAAAATGTGCCCTGAAGAAGAGCAAAAATAGCATGGCTTGTAGGAGATACTGCCTATGAAAAATTCTCTGAAAGGAAGCTGACAACAGAAAAGTTCAACTAAATTCTAGTTCCTTCCACTCCCCTTTTTTTTCAAGTGAGCTACTTGCAGCACACTTGCTGTGTTGCTTAGTTTGTGTATATGTATCTGTAGGGCAGTCTTTCATATTAGACTTAAGCTATGGAAAACCCCTAATTTAAAATAGGATATTTTGTGATGTTAATACAATAAATTTCCTTTTTCTTTGCTAGGAGTAGAAAAGATGAAATCCATGTCACAACTTGCTGTTCTGTCCAGACGATGGAGGCCATCAGAGATGAAACTCGATTCTTTCCAGGAAGTAGTACTAGAAAGCAGCAGTGTTGAAGAATTAAAAGAGAAGGTAAAATGTGTAACATGATGAAAGTTTTTTGTGGTGACCAAGAGCCTTATTGATATCCTCTATGGGGAAGCACAAAGATGTTATAGCTACAAAAATCTTGTTGCATGGTGATTATTTTTTTTTCCCTGGGAATCAATAATCTATCCCAACCTATTGCCAAAACCACTTGAATTATCAACTTTACTTCTTAATTTCACATAATGGTCTGTTGTGAAAGTATTCAGGTGAATGTACACCAGAAAAAGTCACATTTTGAAGTTTAAGCAGCATAATATTACCTGTGTCCCTTATCCTTGAAAAACACACGTGAAAGAAAAGCTAAGCTGTTGTCACTGTGCGTGTTTTCAAGCTTATTTCTCTATTCTAAAATAACAAGCCTTTCAGCCTCTTCATATATGAATTTGAGAGCTGTTGCTTGGGGATGGTGTTACCAGTATCAAGTAGACTGAACTGTGTTTTGGTTGGAAAGAAATATGGCTGTGGTGTGGTTTGGTTTTACTTGAGGCTGGAACCCTCTAACAGGTAAGCAGACCTGTGCCATCCTAGCAGAAGTCTAGAGTAGGGGTCATATTGAGACTGTTTAGTCAATCCATTAAATCACAGGGTTCCACTCCTGGTGAAATGTTTATCTATGTGTGACAATACCCAGATGTTAGAAGGCCACCTTGGATGTTGAGGGCAGCAAAAATGCTGGTCTCAGTGGACACTGAGCATTGATGAATTAGAAGAGGTTGGTGTGTGTACACAGATTAAGTTATGGACAGGTTTCTTGTATTCTTCAGGTAGAAATGAAGATATGACTGCAGGTTCTTGCATGCAGCCTTCAAGACTTCCTTCTCACTTGTATTTGAAGAAAGAGTTGGTTGTGCTTTTTTTCTTAGGAATTGATGTGCAGGGAGTAATTTTAGCAGCATTTGCTCCAAGAAGCCTTAATAGTTTTACTGCTGCCAATAGTAAGAGAAATATGCACCTGAGACATGTGCAGGGCTAATACATTTGAGTTTGTCTGGCTTTTGTCAGCAGTTTTTATTTATGTTTTATTTCAGTTTCCTACTGAAGGCTGGCTGATGAACCTGAGGGTTTAACATGAGGCAGTTGGTCTCTTTTTTTCTTGGAACGTGGATGTTATTAATTTAATTGGTTTTCTGAACTTTTTTGTCTCCCCTTCAGTATTAAGAGAAGTGTGATGAAATACTGTCACAGCAAGCATCACTTGTGACACACACTGGTAACTTCAAAAATGTTAAAAATGTATACTCTGTCACTGTAATTTTGTACTGATGCTTTGGATCACTGGAGGACTTTCAGATACTTTAATTGACTTCTAGATTTGACAGATTATTGACTTTCTGTAGACAGTGTGTCATGTTTTGGAATTGTATTAAACCCACCATTTTTCTTCACTTTACAGCTGAGTGAAATAAGTGGAATACCCTTAGAAAACATAGAATTTGCAAAGGTAAGTAAGATTGTGTGTATTTTTACTTTCTAATGGCACAGACGTGTGATTGTGAGTTTTATTGTATTCATTGAGTAATTGTTTTTTCTCAGGGTAGAGGAACCTTTCCATGTGACATTTCCATACTAGAGATTCACCAAGACTTGGACTGGAATCCTAAAGTATCTACATTGAATGTCTGGCCTCTGTACATTTGTGATGATGGTGCAGTAATATTTTATAGGTATGCATTTCATTACATTATAATAAACCATGCAAAAAAAGCTGTGTAAGATCTGAGGGATGATGTAATCCACAGGAACATAAAATACTCTTCTGTCACCATAAAGAAAAGAGGGTTTAAAACAGTCAGCTGAAATGTTTCTGCTCCTCAGCTTCCTAAAAACCTGTTAATTAAGTTTAAGGAAACAAGCACTGCACCCTTTTACTCAATCCTCCTTCCCAAACCCCTGAAAATATTTTGCTGAATGCAAAACTAGTTGCTATGCTTGTGTGTGTGTGTGTGGATTTAATATCTTAATATATCCCTTGTGGAGTTTGTGAATGTCTTGCTGTATGTTTTGGACAGCAAGGATTTTATTTTCTGAGTTTATTCCTTTGAGAAATTAATATGGCTTATTTGGAAAAAAGGCCATTAGGATAAAAATTTTATTAAGCTGAAAAACGTTGATCAGCTGGTGGCAGTAACCCAGAGGCAGGATTTGAGGACTGAGAGCTTGAATACTGTCATTCTTCTAAACTTAGTAGGTGGGGCAACCTCATTGCTTCTGGGGTATTTTTCGTAATTGCATGTGATTTGGGGGGGAAACAGCTGGTTGATAACGCGCTGGTCTGGATGAAAATTATTTGGGAGAACATCTGGTGGCTTCTGTTAGGGGCTGGCTGACACACTGCTTCCAGCTGGTGGCACTGAGAGCAAATACAGAGCAGAGCCATAGCTGTCTGTAAAGAATAGAAGTTAGGGAGATGGAGGAGTATGGGCTTGTTTCTTCCCCTGGGTGAATGTGTCTGCTGGAAAAGCAGGTTTAGACAGATTGTTCATTTCTGCAGAGGAGGGAAACAATCCTTAAGAATTGTTATGCTTAGTTGTGGTTTTAATAAATTACTCCAAGTGGAAAAAAAAAAAAGGCAGAAATCTAATTATGGTTACTGTATTGATCTGAGTTTTAACATGTTTACGTTTTAGGGATAAAACTGAAGAATTAATGGAATTAACAGATGAGCAAAGAAATGAACTGATGAAAAAAGAAAGCAGCAGACTCCAGAAAACTGGACACCGGGTAACCTACTCTCCCCGTAAAGAAAAAGCACTAAAAATTTATCTGGATGGAGCACCAAATAAAGATTTGACTCAAGACTGATACTTGCTATAGCATTTTCCCTGGGGAATTTTTTTTGTTTCCAATAAAAAGGTTCACTACTACTGTGTAGTGCCGTTCCGGCAGGACATTCATTAGGTGTAAAGCGCTGACACCAGCAGCGGGCGGGCGGTGAGCCGCCGGCAGCGCAGGGCCCCGCCGGGTCACTGCTTGACTTGGAATCATGTTGTGCACTATAGTCAAATGTACTGTAAAGCTAAAAGGGATGTGCAAATAAAAGATTAGAACTCAAAAAAAAAAAAAAAAAAAAGGCGGGCGGGGAGGGAATCGAGTGGAAATTTTTTGAGGACAGTGTGCACATAGTAGCTAGTGAAACTAGCCTCAAACAGGATACTCATAGCTTAATAATAAAAGCTGTGCAAAGGCCATGAAAGAATCCTTTTCTCTGTTTGTTTCACTGATACACGCATTACCTCATCAGAGAGTCGGAAGGAAACGTTAACACATTGGCTCTAGAAGAGCGGCAGAAAAGGGCCGGAGGTGGAAGTGCTGCAAGTGCAAGGTTTTATAATATTCTTCCATAAAACAGGCGGTCTGAGAGGTGTCTGCAGAAAGCTGCCAGCAGGCGCTGTTTGTTTGCAGAAGTGCTGTTGTAAGGTAAACTGGGGGTTTTTAATAGGTTACAGAAGCCGATGAGCAGCTCTAGTGCATTGCGTTCGATGTGTAAATAAAATTTGCCCTATCCATTCACCAGAACTGCAGTTCAGCTATTTACCATGCTGTTTCTTTTCACATATCAACATTCATTGTGTACATTTGGAAGTATAGTTGCCTATTTAAATTTGTATTCATTTTATGTTTGATGATGCTGGGTACTTTAGGGTTGTACTTCCCCTTGTTAATTAAGTTTTTGTTTTGTTCCGCTACTTTTTGTACATTTTGTTTTTAAGACTATGACAAGTTTGCATCTTCTCCACCTGCTGAAAGTCAGTTTATTATTCCCAGAGTTGATTCCATAGCTATATGTAGTCAAATATTGGGGCAACCTCTTAACACCTCAACGTACAAACTTAGTAGTTCAGGCTGTGGTGCAAAGACTGATGCAGTCAACATGATTTCATTGCAAAGCCTAGGAACAGCAATTTTTTTGCTTTGGTCCATAAAGATCAATAGAGAACAATTCTCCATAGTTTTTGGGAAAAACCACCTAATTTATAACAATCAAAAGACTTTGGTAAACTTTTTCATGCCAGATGCTGTTTACAACAATGAACATGCCAATAAAACATTTGTTCATTCTGTTGTGTTATTTTAATCATTAAATGCTGTGGTTTTTATTTAAAAAAATATGCAATTATTTCATGGAAATACAGACTTTCCCAAGGCAGTGCTGGAATTGTAAGGCTGTGTGTTTGTATGTATGTGCACACCCCCCATGTACAGAGTGTTACAGGAAGTGGTTTATAGCTTATCTGCTTCTCTTGTTTAAGTTCCCACCCATTTTTTCTTCCACTGTGAGTTTCCTTTTCCAGAATTGAATTTCTCACCAGTGAAACTTCCAAGTTCCAGATATGACTGGCAGCTGATTTCTGCTCCAGAGGGGAAAGGCAATGTTCAACAACTGAACCTTCAGGTCTTCCTTGCATGCTGGCCCACAGCAACCTAAAAATCCTGAGGAATCTGGCAGCTTGAGAAGCAGGCACTGCACAGATGAACTCCCTCGTTCTTCCTCTTCTCTTTGTCCTGTGCTGCCCCTTGCCCAACGTAAGTGGAAGAGGGGGCAAAGGGAGCAGAGAGGGAGTTACCATCCTCTAGGCAGGGTATGTCATTAAACTGCCTTTACCATTTATATAGACTGCTGAAGGAACCTTGGAGCTTTTGAAGAGAGGAAAAGAATTACCTATCAAATGGGTCATGAATTTTCCTCAAAGACGTTTGGAGAGGCAAAAATCTAGAGATGAGATCTGAGGATTGCAGCACCAAGAATTTGAAGGGAGAGTAATACTATCATTAAGAGAGCAGTATTTAATAGACAATTACTGCTCTCTATAGTGGGTTTTTTTTAACAGATTTAATTCCTTCTCTTTGTATAGATGGGCTGTCTCTAAAGTACAATGATTTTACTGGGGATAGAAAGGAGAGGTGAATTCAGTGAGCTCTGAGAGCAGGTGCCTGGGTGTATGTGCTGGTGTGAGAATTGGTTGTAGAATCCTTAAACTGAAAGCCAGACTGTTCTGATGAAATATCCTCGTGTTGATTATGATTATTAACATTAATTCTGGTACCCAAGGAATTTATTGAGAAGCTTTCATAGTGCAGACATGGTGAAAGATGTACAGGCTGGTAACACAGTCTTACAGCTGCTCCTGTTGGTGCTCTGCTGTTCCAAATCAGAGAGAAGCAGTAGGGATTATTTGGGAAGAAGCGCCATGAAAAGTTACTTGGCTGGAACCTCATGTCATGTTTTCCCATGTGGAATAACAGATGGTGACACCTGTACCCCAGAAAACCATTAATAGTGGAAGAGCCATTGAAGCAAACTGATGAGACAGCTGGGGAGTTTGGTGGATTGGATTTTACTCTTGGCTTGCCATCGATTTCTTAAATCAGTGACCTCTTAAAGATGGTCACAATAAGCACATCCTATAACATGCAGAGATTTATGCCTGTGAAGTGTATTAAAAGCATAAACCATTCCTCAGAGGTTGTTCTCTGGGTGTCTCTAAGTGCAAGAAGCTATTTCAGTTGTCTTACTGCTACACTGAAGTCAGGAATTGATGTTCACTGCCCCTGAGTCTCACAAAGGGCAGGTGATGATGGAATGTAGCCAACAGGTCCTTAAACAACATTCCCCCAGGAAGGAATGTTCATGTGGTGCAGAGTGCTTCGTGGCACTGTGACACCCACAATCTGGATGTTGCAGCTTCACTGACCATGTTTTCTAAAGGAAAAAAAATTAAAAATTCCCTAAAATTAATGACTACAGCAGTTCAAAGTAGATGGTTCATACTCAAAAGTCACTTCTGAAGTTACTAATAACTTTAAATTATTTATGCTCGTGTGTATTTTTTAATGAGTATAAGTACTAATAAGTTTATTTCTGATGTACACAGGGGAAAAAAACTAATCCAGAAGAAACACTTCCCATTTGACAGGTTTGGTCCAAGGATTGAATGAATTCAACAGTAATTGGAACATGCAGGTTTGGTGCACAGAGAAGTATTTTCATTGAAGACCTTGTTTATTGCACTTCTATCCAGCAGTGTGTGTTTAGGGTTTATATAAGCAAGACACTAGACAAAAAATTGCTAGAAATGACTAACTAAACTGCCTGGTGCTTGGACTTTAAATTTCATCTCCCAAAACCAGGTCCTGAGCTGAGTCAGGCTCAGGCTTCAAACCTGCTTGCTCCTCCAGACTTTCTAATTCTCTACGCACTTCCTGAATGACACTGCTTTCTTCATAATCAGAAAGAATATCTCTGGGGATTAAGCTGAGAAATGGCATCTCATCCATGATTAAGGGATCTTCTTTTTCATTATTCCGGGTTTCATTGGCAGACAGTTCACACACAGATGTAGGGCTGTGGCTGTTGGAAAAAGAGAGACACATCTGGTCATACAGAACAGCATTTTGTGTTCTGCTGGTTTCTTTATACAGTTCCCTCCCCACGTGAAAACATGTTAAATGCATAATAGATCTACTCTAGCTAATTTCATAAAGATCTGGGGTTTTTACATGCTTGACAGCTGGAGAGTTTCCACATACAGAGCTAGAACAGAGCCTAAAAATGTTTGATCCTGGGACACAAGATGGCAGTGGCCCTCAGCACAGCCTGGCCCTTCTGCAGGCACTGAGGGTGACTAGACCTTGCTGTTCATGTCATAACACCGAGTTAAGAAACACAGTCATCCAGCTTGAGAGGAAAACTCTGAGCTTTAGGTATTTGGTTCCTCACAGTGCAGTGGAATCACTACAATTGCCAATCCTGTTTTGTGAAGCCACCTCGAAAAGTGGCTGCAGTTGCCTACAAACAAACATCCCACATTTTTTGCAGGAACCATGAAAGGGAAAGGAATGATTTATAGTTGTGGTCAGGAGGCAGGGGAACAGAACTTGATCATGGTTCCTCTGCTATTTCCCTGCAGTGCAGGGAATGCAACTGGGCTACAGGTCCATGTCAGGTGAGCACTACTTGTGCTGGGCACCCCTCAGCAACTGCTGAAAGCTGTAGCCTCTTCCACTGGAAACAGCATAAATGAGCTAAAGATGTTCCTGAAGCTTATTTTCAGTATATTTTGAATTCTTTTGCTCTCGACTTCCATTTGTGCACAGACTATCCCTGTGTTCTCTTTGGTATAATCTAAGTTTCAGTGTTTATCAGTTGCTTGTAATATTTAGCCAAGGGCCATTTGAAGAGGTGGACTGTTTCTTTTATTAAAAAAATGTTGTCAGAATCTTAAAATTCAGATTAAAAGTTCTTTTGACTATAGCTGGACAGTTCAGTTATATTCACACCCTAAGTAATTTCTGTGTTTATATATCCTCATCTGAAATGTCTTCCTTCTAACTAGACATGACATTTGCTGACAGACCTTCCCTGAGGTTAATGGCACATTAACTAAAATTTTGGGGCAGAAAGGATGAGATCAACTCTGCTTGTTTCCTTAGATGACATTTATGAAACAAAATGTTACTCAATTCCTTTTCATGCATGAAAAAATGTTGAAAGAGTTGGACACAGAGGAGAGAAGTATTAATATACATCTGTATCCCAGCTATGCTGTCTTGTTGGAAGTTAATATGATGCTGGTAGGGTAGGAGCAAACTTGGAGAATTTCATAGAAAACATGTAAGTTTTCTAAAAATGCTTTTAATGCAAAACTGAAATGATCTCACTTCCCCCAGTGAAACTGCTGATTATGCAAATAACTCCTTTTAGAGAATGATTAAAGGCATTATCTATGCAAAGTTTTAACTTCAAGCAGAAAACAGCCTGCTTCCTATTTGGTGAAACTCAGTGGTAGTGAAGAAGTCTGCACAGTTCAAAGTGTTTCAAGTCTGAGAGCAGATCATAAGTTAGTGGTAGAGAAACTGGCACCCTGGGTTAGTTTGAAACCAGGGGAATGTGCAAAGATAGATTAATTTTTTTTCTTCAATACATGTGCCCATCTGTAAAGCTGATCAGTAGTGCAGGAAATACTGCATGTATTTAAAATATGTTTCATGTGTCTTACATATGAAAGCAAGCAAAACATCTAACAGAAGCCCAGCCTAAGATAGAAAGATGGTGGACAAAGAACTGTATGCAGAGGATTAAATTGAAATGATACATCTCAACAGCTGTTAGTACTGACTGATTAAAAAGCAGTAACAGCCTGATTAACTCACAGACTTAATTCACATGGGATTAGTGTGTTGCCAAACTCAATTAGGCACATCTGTGTGGGACAAAGCAGAAAGTTTCAACGCTACTGATGAGAAAAGTTGTCAAAACATTTTCTAGTGAGGCAGACTCTGCAAGTTCTGTAGCTGTTTACCACAGAAACAGATCCCTCCAAATTTTTAAAGCAGGTTGTCTGCCCAGTTTTGATCTTTACCTCTGAGGCTGGCAGATCAAGCCACTTGCACATGGGCACTGCTCGAGCACTCCATCGGGTTCCAGGTCCCAGGTGATGAGGTTGAGAAGTCTGTTCGAGGGATCATGGCAGGGTTCACCTTCCTCAGGTAAGGGTGTGCACACAGGGAACAGCAGCTCTGTGTGCCAAAGGAAAGTCATTTTAGGAGAAGTCTGTAGCTGTCTGCTAACCTGTGATGACCTCATTTCTAAAGTGTGTATGCATGATAGAAAAAGACAGATTTGACCTCTCTTGAAGTCCCCTTACAAATAAAGGAGCCATAACTTAATGTTTTTTTCCACTAGGTGGGAGTAAGACATTTGAAGTTTATGCTTAATGAGCAAGATCAACTCCTGCTCTTCCCAAAGAGCGTGAGTGTCAAGACAGCAGTGCTGCATGACTCCATCCCTTGGAGATACAAAAGGTTATTATAAACCCAAGAAAAAATTGCAGTGAATCCTTTGCAATGGTTTAAAATCTGAATAGAGAAATACCTCTGTATTTTTGAACTCTGTTAGTTTTCCTATTTCTTTGCAGAGGTTACAAATATGCAGAGCAATTGTTCAGAGACTAAATAATGAGGTTACAAGAACTACAACTCAGACATTTAATTTATTACAGTAATACTACTACACACAGAGATGTCTGATGGCATTTGGGCCTTGGCACCCTTGTTTCTGCACAGAGATGAATTTCAACTTGTGTAAGAAATTATTTTAGAAGGCTACATCCTCTGGGTTTCCTGATGCTAGTAACTTATAGTGTCAGTCTGGAATTCAGATTTCCAGATGTTCCTGTCCAACCTCCCTTCCTCCTCTTGTCTTCATTCTCCTCATATGGGAGAATAAAATATGAGAGGAATTCAAAATTTAAGTTTTTAAAACAGACTTGGTCAAAATACACATGTATGTGTGTGTATACACATATATGCTTCAATGTATGTGACCAATCAGTTCCCAATTTCAAAACAGATTCTATATTAAGAGGTGAATACTTCATAGTTTACTACAGTTTTATATAAAAAAAATACACATTTTTATTAGGACAATTTTTTGCAATACTCAGGTGATGAAGAAAGGCCTTGAAGTAGGCAGGCCTAACCTGAAAAACCCTGCTAAAGCACACAACCATAGAGAAAAAAAATCATTGCTATCATAGCTCTATTTTAAGCTCTAATAAGTGTATTCTATCCATTTTCATCAATATTCTTATCTGTTGATTTATATATGCATATATATATATAAAAAATATATTTTTTTCTCTGTAACTGTATGTCTGTTATTCCTTCCTGAGTTACAGGTTTATACTAAATTTCTAGTCAAGATCTAAAGAGCAGCCTGGTGCTACCAACACCAATGGGATGCATACTACTAATTTACTCATCTCTGCAGCATAAGCAGATTCAGAGTCCAGCATGGCAAAAGTAATAGGCATGTATTAAAAATACTCTTCCTGTCTTATTTCAGAATCAGTACAAAGAAACCTCTGAGAGAGCTTGGCAAAACCTGTAAATGCTTTAGGCAGAACCTGATGAAGAGAGGAAAAACTGCTCCAACCAAAACTTGTTGAAACCAAACTGAAGGTCCACTATGTAATAGTCAAAATCATCATGGGAAAGCTGAGCATCTCCTTGGTTTTCCTGAAATGCCCTGGCAGCCTGATCCACCAGCAACCTGACAGTGGGACAGGCACCCCAACCATCTGTGAAGGTACAAGGTCACGTCTGGCTCATAGCAAGAACCAGGAAGAAAGCTAGAGAAGTATCTACACCCGGTGTAAGGAGATGGTTGGAACTGTGTCCTGTCCCTACAAAATTGAGGTGAATTATGAAAAATGCAGTGAGAAACTAGTGGGTATAAAACAGTAAAAGAAATTGGACCCTAACCAGACAGGATTTGGGATTAATTTCAGGCCTGAGACCTTCTCCTCCTGTCCTCCCTTCCGTAAATCAAGTTTCACATTCCCGTGTGGAGCGACAACATAATCTGGGACATCATTCCTCTGTGTATCTTGGCTGTCTGGTCAGTATTGCACGGTGTGGTGCCCTGGAAGGCACACAGAAAACTCAGAGTATGAAATGTATCTGCAGTCTGATTCTGATAGTCTGCTTGCTGATAGGAAGGAGAAGCCACTTTCAGTAATCTCGTCATTTCTTCTGTATATTTTTAATTATCTTATTTTTGCTCTATTGGGTGAAAATTTGACAACAGAGTTCTGCTACTTTTATATGTGTAAGATTCCCCTTTAGAAACATAAATTTTTGTGCTTCTCATGCTTGTCTCACCTCTAGCATGCAATAGGCTTTTCTTTCACCATTGTGCACCCCTAACAGACTGTTTCTCACTCCTAATTCTATCAAAGTTTTATAATGAAGTTATAGGTGAAGTTATATAAAGGGAGAATGACCTATTGATTCTGTAGAGACTTAGCAACTTCCCCTGGGCAAAAGAGGGGATATATTATATATTATACAGTATGATGAAATGAATGGGATAAGCTCCTCTGTACCTTTCTGAAAAGCACAGCACATTCCAGGGTTGCAGTCGTGTTGGTTCTCACAAATGGTGCCGTTCTCTCCTTTTGAAGTGGATTTCCTGCACTCGCCCCAAACACAGAGCTGGTCTCCACAGCATTCAACATCCCGGGAGCAGGGCTTGCAAATGGAGAAGGCACGTGAGGAAATTGTCACTTTAGCACTAATTGCTTGTAACACAGACAGCTAAACATAGAATTAACCCTGGTCCTGAAGGCAACTGCATGTATGTGCTTGTAATATATGTGTGTCGTATTCCCACTGTTTAAATAGAAGTGCTCAGGGTTCTCAGTTTAAGTGTACATAGAACTTTTTGCCAGACAGGAACCTTCACACTCCACTAACAGCACCCCTTCTACACTAATATGCTTCCAATACTACAAGACATGAATTCTTACTTTAGCATTCACAGGAACACTGATCAGCAACCAGACATCCCACGGTGTGGGTTGGACAGGGCCTTAAAGGTCATCCAGTTCCAAACCCCACATCGTGGGCAGGGACACCTTTCCCTAGACCAGGTTGCTCAGAGCTCCATCCAACCTGGCCTTGAACACTCCCAGGGATGGGGCAGCCACAGCTTCTCTGGGCAACCTGTTCCAGTGCCTCACCAGCCTCACAGTAAAGAATTTCTTCCTAATATCTGATCTAAACCTGCCTTCTGTCAGTGGGAAGACATTCCCCCTTGTTCTCTCACTACATGCCCTTGTAAAAAGTCCCTCTCCAGCTCTCCTGTAGTCCCTTTAGGTACTGGAAGACTGCTCTAAGTTCTCCCTGGAGCCTTCCCTTCTGCAATCAAGGGAAATAAAAATTAAGAAATGAAATATTATCAATGGAAAACATTACTGAATTTTTTTTCCATTGTTAAATACAGTCAGGAATTTACAATTTGTTCAGAAGGATTGTTTTCAAAGAGCACAGCAAAAAAATCTTACTAAAATCCATTTGCAGCTGTAATAAGAACCAGATCTCATTGGTAACCAAGAATCTTTAAAAAAAATCTCTGAAAAAAAAATCTCTTTGAAAAGCAGAAATGCAAACCTCTAGCTAAAGATAGCTTTGTGTGACAACTGCCCCAGTGTTTCAACCACACACACCTAATAAATCAACCTAATAAAAAGGGTGTGTCACATTGTTCCTTTTTTTAGGTAGTTTGATTAACATCTTACAGATTCCTAGCAGGTCAGTGCTTTAACAGCTTTTTCCTGTCTGTGTTAAGCCCTGTCTGGGCAGCCATACAAAATCTGAATTTCTTTTCCAGTGAATCCCACAGGAAGTGCTTAACACAGGGCAAGGAGTAGGACTGCACTGGTACTATTAAGACCTGCTAATTAGGGAGAAAAATGCTTTGTAATTGCAGGGATTCAAGGTCAGGGAATTGATCCCACCTCCTTCAGTCTGAGCTCACTTTACAACAGAAGTGTAGCTAACACCCCATTTTTACTTTCTTTATCCTACAAATGTTCTGCTGAGGACTGAAAAGAAAAGGTGGGATTATAGGGGGGCATAGGTGAGGGGCAGCCCGATCTTTATTTTGAAGTTTAACATTTTCTAAAATACGAAGAATAAGCTTTCTCAATGACACATATAGGACATGATCAGAATTTTAAGCAAGCATTCAGTACACTGAAGTCAATAGAGCTCCCTGAAGTTATCAAGATAACTATTTAAATCATTGCAGGAACAGCCTGGTTCTTTTAGGTTATAACAACCCTATGCAGTTTACATGAATTTACAGCAACATTTAGTTGCTTGTACACTGGACTGTCTGCAAATGCTTTGAGGAGTGAATTTGTTTTCCAAGAGGCCATCAGCAGAACTTAGTTGAAAAGGGACAGTCAAATAAAAAGGCTTTTTTGACAGGCTGCTTCTAAACTGGAGTTTGATCACAGAAAAAGCCTGAACTTCTCAGGCAGGCATCTGTCCCTTACAGAAGATAATCTAACCATAGCTACTACTAAGAACACTGATCTTCTAGTTCAAAAGACAGGAACTGACTGCTTCCTGAGCTTCACAGATTCAAATAAGGGAAGAGGATCCTGTACAGTCCCCACTGCACTACAGCACTGTACAATTTGTCAGTGAAGGGAAGAGGGCAGGCTGCTGCAATTCCCTTTGTGAATCCAGAGCTGGAAACGACCAGCTGTGAGCTGAGCCTTAGGAGCTGCCACAGTATTTCCTCTTTGCCCATTCCACTGGCAACCTACAATGTGTTAGCTTACACTGTCCTTAGGCCACCCAACAAGGCAAGCTTGAGTCAGGAGGAGCTCAGGGCAGATTTTGGAGCATGTGAGAACAGAAACCTTGAAACCTAGTTTTGTTAACAGCAAGAAAAACCCCACACAACCCAAAAAACTCTACACACCCATTTTTTTTACCCTCATGCAGAAAGCTTTGCCGCTTCTTTTCTACCAATTTTGGCTTGTTGACATTAGCAACAAAAACACTGAGTTTCTACAGATCACATAAAATCATGTCTCATTCAGGACTTACTGTATGCTGGGTTTTGCAGAGCTGACATTTGTATTCAAAGGTGGAGAACTGGCAATATTTCCCTGTTTCACAGTCTTCATCGATGATACACTCCTGAAGAAAAGGATAAAAGCGTAATTTGCCACTGTGTGACTGAAATCTGTATCTCTTCTTGAAATACCAGAAGCTCTTGATTGATTCTATTTCTTACTTGGGAACCAAGAAAAAAAGCTTCAATTCTTCATACAGCCACAGCTCTGTGACAGACCAGTGTTATCTCCCTGGCTTATCTAAATACTCTGGCCTCAAACTGTTAGCTGGCTTCACTTCTTGTATACACATTAATACCAGCAACCTCAAGAGAAAAAATTATCTAGTTCTGCAGGCTTTTTGTGCTTTTGTTGTTTGGACTTTTTTTCCTCTTTTTTTGGATGGGGGGGCATTGAAGTCACTTGTATTAAATCTGTTGTGTTTGAGTACAGTTGTGATTTATTACTTGTTGGTTGTTTTTTTCAGATGGGGGACAAGACTGAAGGAAAGAGGCTACACTACTGCAGCCACAGCAGCCAGGAGGATCTTTATGCTCTGTGGGAGACCCTTCTGCACGAAGTTTCTTGATCTCAGGCCAGGTAGCTTTAAGCTGTCCTCCCTCCTCTTCCCCAGCATGCTTGACTTCACTAAACCAGCAAGGACCTCCCTAAGGGAGAAGGGGAATGTGTTTCCTTTTGCTTTTAACTGTTCCTCTGCTCCCCTTTCAAGGGGCACAGGAATTCTTCTCAGGCAATCTTTGCAGTGCCTGAGTATTTTTGTCAGCAGTTATTTCTACGCTGAAAAATGCAGTTCGTCCTTCTGCAGGACTGGTAACGTTCAGCATCCCTGGGGCTTCGTGGTAGCAGCAGCACTACTGCACAGCCAGTATTTCTGGGAGGCATGGATGTAACACCCCATTGGATTTCCTTTTCTCAGCTGGTGGCATCTCTCATGTACCTGTCACCATAGCCCATCACCTGCAAGCTCACCGCTGCAAATGTCTAAATACCTACATGTGTAAATTTTAAATCCTTCCTTGATTCAAATATGGCAAAATATGCAGGAGCAGATTCTCAGCTGGCATCTCCCTGCTCTCAGTGGAGGTAATTTACATTGAGTAACATAAGATTGACAAGTACTAAAGAGCCCCAAACATCCCAGGGAAAAACAGCCCCACATTCCCCAGTGCATCAGCCTTTGCTACCCAGCCTGGACTCCAGGATAGGCCTCAAGCCAGCAAAGGTGCCTGAACACATCTGGCTTTTCAAACCTGGGATCATTTCATGGCCTGAACAAAAGTGTTGATGGGAGAGGGACACCTGAGTCTGAATCTGAATCACAAACTCGGGCTGAAGCTTCCTCACCCAGAGATCCTACGAGCATTGTGGAAGAGACAGCTCCCCTTTCATTCCTGCTGCATGGGATGAATGCATAACCTGGTCAGGAATTCTTCCCAGAACACAGCTCTGCAGGGATGGCAGTGAGGAAATACAGAGAGTAAAGTGCATATGTCTGTGTACCCCTCATGTGTCTGGTTCACAGGGAGGGCCTGTTTTCTCTTCCCATTTAAAGGTTACCTCCTCAAAATCGTGTGATTAACCCTGTTCTCTAAAATGTTTTCTTGTTTTTTCAGACTGGAAACAATCTAGTCAATAGAAACACAAATTATAGCACCGTTCTAAGTCACTTGTACTCCATCATTGCTTGGTACCATCCATCATAAGGCTGATGTTATCTTTTTGCTATTAGTCAAAAGAAAGGAAAGGAAGGGATAAGAAAAAAGGGAAAAGAGAAAAAGGGAAAGAGAAGGAAATGACACAAAAATCCCTGAATTCTCTGAAGTAACCACTTGACTGTTCTTTGGCAGATATTCATCTCACTTGCTGGAGCAGATCAACTGTCATCTGTGTAACCTTTATGGAAAGTTTCCACTAAGCTTTTTATTTTCTTCAGATCTTTCCAGATTAAACCTTATGTAGTCTTCTTGCCCTTGACTCTGTGTGAGTCAAGGCTGCTCTGCACGAGCAGCAATGGCTTGTCTAAATTACCCATTTTGGCCACCTTAGAGGTTTTCAAGCAGTTTGATTACCCAGAACATAGAACAGAAGCCAAACACAGCCTAGGGTCTGATTATTTTCAAGTCAGTGGCTGGATATTCAGGTTATGTTTATAATTCAGAAGAAGCCACTTTAGCTATTTTAAGAAATTAGTATCACCGGATCTATTCTGCTATAAATTATCATAATGTTTTCAACTTCATTATTCCAGTACTGCCTGTGTTCTGCCCTTTTTTTTTTTTGCTTTTCTGTTGCTACATAATCAGTTGGATCAAAATCCAAATATCCAAATGTTATATAGTATGTTGGAGGTTTTGTGGTTCCAAGTGAGCAGTCAGAGACTTCTCTTCAGCAGCCACGCTCTTTTTGGCCACTTCTCTGTTTGTAGCTTTGTCAGCTTCTGTTATGAATCCCTCTGTATAAACCACACTCAGAATAGACTATATACTGTTTCATTCCTGTTCCATCCACTTTCAGGCAAACAGCCAGGTCTCACTGGAGTCAGTTTTTCCAACTGTCCCTCTCCACAAAGGAGAAATCTTGCCACAATTGTTTTTGAGCTCATGGAATAACTCTCTCCTAGCTCTAAAACCACCTAACACCAAAGTTGCAGTTCTCCAGTCACTGACTTCTCCTAGCTAATGAGTCCCACACCAAAAAACTTCTTTTCCCTCACTTACTGAATTGTATCCCACCAGTTCAGACTTCCAGTTTTATGAGGGTTTCCAGCTGGGGAAAAATCCCTTCATGGTTTTCTTTGCTGGTGTGGAAAATCTTCTTTTCATATGCTCTCTGTGAAATTTTGTGCCACACTTCAAATTGACTTCCTTCACCCAAGTATTATAATCCATAGTCAGTACAGAACTCAGTAATTCTTACTTGCAGATATGTAGCCATGTATCTTTTTTTAATAATTTATTTTTATTTATTTAATCAGGCTACAGACCCTTTATAATCCTCTGCTTGAGACACAACAGCTGCTGGACAAGGAGCAAATCTGAACATCTTCATCAGTTACAACAGATCCTGAACAATCCATTTTTTCCTGGGATTCTGCAAACTAAGGTATTTCTCAGAATATTTTGTCATTGCAGGAACAACTGCATAAACAGAGGAGAGAGGGTGCTGGCTTCTGACATGCAGCAGAGCATACAAGTTGAGCAGATAGCTCAGACAAAGACAGAATTAGCTACACTGATAATGGTGTACATGTCTCTGAAATCCATTTCAGTGTTATACCAGTTAATGCTGCAGCAAAGGAATATACCCTTTGAGAAGTGCTAAAGAATAATACAGAGTGAAAGCAGGATTGTCTATTTATTACTGGGTGTACTAGGACCCATAAACAACAGAGGCCAGGACAGAGAATACCATGCTATGTACCTGTAAGGACATTCTCAGCATCCTCTGGACTCATAATACTGTGCTCTGCAGTGAATATCCTGCAACACCTGGAAGCAATTTGGGGCTTAGGATCTGTTCCAGAACCAACAGGGGAAAAAAACCCACCCAACAAAATACTGAAACTTATGGAAAAGGTTCCTTGTGTTATAAGACTTGCTAAAACAACTGCTGCTGAAAGAAACTTCAGGTTTCTTGTCTCTGGCAGATTATGCCAGGCTATCATTTGCTTTCCTAAAGAATGATTAGTGTCCACATTTGAGAATAAAAGAGTGACTGATGTTAGTGACAGTCAAGTATGGCAGGACCACAGCTCCAAGGAAAAGGAAACAGATGGTGCAGGACTGTACAGGTCAGAACTGGTGGGACAAGTTTTGACACCAGTGCTTCCTTTTGGGCTTTATGTTCACATATACATGGAAAGGCACAGAAGAAAAAAAGTCTTCTTTTAGTGTGATGTGTCAGTCTTCATTCTCAAGGCCCCAGGATTCCCTTGGCCTGAAGGTACTACAGGCTATTTTGGCAGACTGTACTGACTGGTGGAGCATAGCCCACTGTGGTGTGGACCACATCATCCTTAGAGCACATAAGGATAAAGAAGGAGAAACAGAGTTAACCTACTTTCACACAGAAACCCACTTTCTTTGGCAGTTTCTGTACCTCACTATGGCAGTAGTTTTAATACTTGTTTTTGCTGGTCTGTACTGAAATCATGCTCATTTTGCTTTACTCTTTTCCCCCTTAATCCTTAATTAAAATCTTAAGAGTAGACTAGAAAATATTCCAGTCTGTTCTAGGACTGTCTGACTTTCAAAATGTCATAATTTATTTTAATTTCAAAACGGACATTTCATTTGTCTATTCCCTCTCCCTACTCACACTCACCCTACCTCCACATTCTCAAAAAGTCCTCCTTCAAAGATAATTTTAAACAAAACTCCCTCTTCACTAGTCATATCTTCAGCTAATATTTGCCTGTCAGGGAAAGGCAAATGACTGTCTGGAACAAGCGGAATTTCCTTCTGGGCTCTTTACACTTTAGCTTAGAACCCAAGAAAGCAGAGAAAGTTGCTGTTCATAACTTTATACACAACTTTTCAGTGGTGATTAACCCATCTATGAAAGGCAGAGGGAGGGCATCCTATATATAGGATGGAACAGAAAATGCCCCTGTGGGTGAGGGGCAGCTGTAGTGGAGACCGAGCAGCAGTTCTCTGCCAAGGTCACTGCTCTGATATGAGAACAGTAAGTGGGATTCAAGCAGAAGAACCCCTTTTCCCCTTGGAAATGCATGGAAGCACCTCTCACAGTCTACAAAAGCTTCTCTGAACAAAGAGACCCCTTAAAAGCTCCTGACACAAAGCGATTCCCCTTTCAAAAACCTTGTAACTCAAATAAAACTCCACAAACAGCAGCCACAGGTCCTTCCCAAGCAGTGCCAGAGCTCACCCAGCTGTACCAGGGAGACAATAATTTCAGCCATATCTGAAGTGCTTTTAGCAAAACCACTGTTCGTGTTGGAACTGACATTTCTCAGCAATTGGCACTTCTAAGACTTAACATTTACTTGTGTGTTTACATATCCCCTTCTAGGTTTTGTTTTAATTTCTATAAGTTGCTGGTCTC